GGGTCTGGCGTCAGTATTCTTTTTTTAAAGCTTCCCAAGTGATGCTAAAAGTGTAACTGGATTTGAGAACCACTGTCTTAAAACTTTTGAGAATGGCAAATGTATTCAAATCTTGTCAGATTTCAACCAAATATCAGGTTTCCTAAATTTGAAAAGAAGACAAGACATTCTGAGAGGCTCAGAGATTAAAACAAAAATATATGTGTTAAAAAGTGAAACATTAAAACCAAATCAAAAGTAAAGGAATTGTGGAAGAAACAATTGTGAAGATATGAAATTGAACTCAATTCAGCAAATGATTAGTTGCACCCTACTGAGTGCAGCACGTTCTATTTTGGTTGGATGATGAATGAAGGTAAATAAGGTAAATAAATGATCTCACTGGATAGGATTACTTTACCAAGGGTAGTGACCGACATTTACATCCACCTCCTGAACATGGGATGAAACGAGCAGAGTGTGTGTCATGGGGAATGTAGGCAAGTGCTAAGGAAAAGCATTTTGGAAGTAAGAATCTTCAGCTGTTAAATAAAAAATACTGAAAACTATGACTGTCCTGCACTAGAAGGTTTAAAAATCAAATAGACTTCCACTTGTCTGATGGAGCCACAGTATGTTACAGTTTTACTATCCTATGATTTTGGTGTGGTTTCTGCTCCTCAGCTCCAAATTCTCCAATTATCTACTGCTGCCTCTTGATAATTAAGAAAAGAAAAAGGATTGGTGAGGTGGCACAGTGGTTAAGTTTGCACGTTCGGCTTCAGTGGCCTGGGGCTCGCTGATTCGGATCCTGGGTGCAAACCTATGCACCGCTTGTCAAGCCATGCTGTGGCAGGCATCCTACGTGTAAAGTAGAGGAAGAGGGGCACAGATGTTAGCTCATGGCCAGTCTTCCTCAGCAAAAAAAAAAAAGAAGAAGAAGAAGAAGAGGATTGGCAGCAGATGTTAGCTCAGGGCTAATCTTCCTCAAAAAAAAAAGAAGAAAAGAAAAGACGAAATTCTACTTGTTAAGTCTGAATCAGGATTCTGAGTTATGTCCTTCCCTCTGCACTTTGTGCCATTACCCTCAGTACATTTTAACCCTGACCGAGAACTAGTGAGTTTTGCTCTTGTTGTTCCTCATACTTATCTAGAAGAATGTATAGAAATATAAAGAAATAATATAAATATATTTTTTCTTCTTTTTTCTTTTGTGAGGAAGATTGTCACTGACCTAACATCTGTGCCAATCTTCCTCTGTTTTATGAACTTAAAACATAACCATAAACTTGACCACTACACCATCCGGCTGGCCCCAGGAAATAATATTTTAAAAATTGTTTGAAGAACTTAACCTATAGTTTGCTTCACCTATAAATTAAAGTAGCTTTCATAAGATATGACAGGGAAACTTTAATTGCAATTGAGATATTTTTGTCTCTTCTCTTTAAAGAGTTCTAAGTACCTCGTAGATGAATTAGTCCTCATCATGTCCCCATAGAAAGGAGAGTGTAGATGTTTCATTTGGTCTTGTTCTGTGCTTTTTTCTCATTATTTGCTCATTCAAAAAAAAATATTAAACTAATATGTGCCAGAAACTGTGCTACATGATGAAAATACCATGAAAAAAATATTCTAATGAGAAGAGACAGATCAGAAACACACAAAGAAATAGTGTCAGTTGGAAATAAGTCGAGTGATTAAAAAGAAGCAGGGTGCAGGGATAGAGAGTCAGGGGTTGCAATTTTAACAGAGATGAGCAAAGAAAGCCCCAAGGAAAATGTGACTTCGGAGTATGAAGAAGTAAGGAGGCAAATCAAACACTCTTCTACCAGATACTTCAGAGAACCACCCAGAGGAAACAGCAAGTACGGAGACCTGAGGCAAGGGAGTGCTCAGTGTATTGGAGAAAGAGGGAGGAAGTGAGAAGGCTGGGGAGGTATGAGTGAGATGTGTATGGTGGACGGGGTAGGATGATGCCCTTCTCAAACATAGTTACTTATGAGAAAATAAGTCTTCTATACTCTGCACCTTGACCCCTGACTTTATAAGTAGACATTTGAGAAAGACTTAGGGCTCCTAATTTTAGTTTGACAGAGTCTGAATAGAATGAGAATTAATGCATTAGTCAAGGGCCTGGCAAGGAACAAGGTACACTCAAGAAGGATTCTAAGAGGATTTAAGTAAGTGAGTATTTATAGAAGAGTGGGCACCCAGCAGCTAACAACAACAGAAAACCACCACCTGAAGGGTAAAGGTAGAAAATGACGTTACAAGAGTCTTGTAGGAGCTGAGGCCATGCAAGAGGTGTTGCTCCCCATGGGCTGTAGTCATAGGTTAGGTGGCCTCTGCCAGGTTGGAGACCCAGAGGAGAGGGAGCAGGGGAAGTAATGACCAGCCTTTCTCTCCTCCTATCCTCCTGTCTTCTGTCAGTGCCTCCCATTGGCCCAATTCACCTGGAACCCAGAGGGCAAGGAGCCCTGCTAACTTACTCTACAGAGTTCAACATCCTCAGGCACAGAGAAGAGGAGAAAGTGGATCAGAGGTAGGAGAGAGAGGCAAATAGAGAAAAATCAGCACACTCTATAAGACTATTTCATTCATATTTTATCAAGCTTTTAGTTCAGAAGCAATTATAGCAGTAAGAGTTAACAAGAACCAAATATGTAAATATGTTATGACTAGTACGAAGTCAATAAGATATTCTTCTATTCATTAAAAATTGAAATGCCTATGAAACTTCAAAGCAATTGAGACATTTTTAACCTACTACCCCAAAGAGGGGTTTGTGTGCATGTACAGATCATGTATTTTTTTTAATCGTGTAGGTATCTGTGCCTATTATATTGTCTTGAGGGTTTGAAGGAATTGCTGTTCTGTTCAAGTGAGTCATTTCAGACATTGCTTGTTGATCTTTATTCCCGACCTCAAGCACTTTGGGGAGGGCCAGGTGCATACAACTGTGCCTCACTCTTTTATCTAACAAGAAGCTGTAGAGCTGATGACCCTGTGCCAGACAGAGAGATCTCTGCTCATTTCCCTCTAGACTTCGAGGTTGCTGTGTTGCCTGAGATTATGCTTGGAGCTGTCATAATTCCACTCTCAAAACTCTTATTTGGAGGCTATTGAAAAGCAGAGATGATGTCAATTGACATATGTTTACAATTTTCACTAGGAGGGTTCTGGTTGATAAGGATTTGGAAAGAATTATATTGTTGTATATTACACTATGATTTAACTGGATGGTTTAGAACTTTTCTTGGCAAGAAGGCATCCAGAAGATTATCTATTCTCCTAATTCTAAGAATATTCTTCTAATATTTTACAAGCCTCTATGTGGATGCTCACTCAGATGATTTGCTAGACAGCTTTCCATTATGGGAAGTTCCCTTTGTGCATTATTTAATGATTGCACAGGATAAAAAAAGAAAGTGAATGTTTCTTCAATAATTTTCCAGAGTTAAAGAGTAAGCAAGATGGGAACAATTACTTCCTCCCCAGTAACAGAGCCAATATTATTGGCAAACTCCTGGAGTCTGGAATCATCAATACATTCATGGCCACATTGCTTTAAGCAATGGGCCTCCCCACTCCAGGGTGAGTACACTCAAAGGCAGAAGAAAAAACAGCTAAAGAAGAAAATTGGATTGAATGACAGCTTAGTTATTATCAATCAGCTTCAAATATCAAAGATGCCTAGCATTAAAGAATCCACAGAACACTTGGACCAGGAAGGTCTTGCTGATAGAAAAGACCCAATGTTTTGCCTTCCCTGAAAACAGACCTTTAGAGCTGGAAAGAAACAAAGATGATCACTAATCCTCTCATTTCACCAGGGAGGACACTGAGGCTAGCAGAGAAAGAGACCCTGGTTTATATACTGCAAAGCTAATTGATAATCAAGTCAAATTTAGGTCAGCCTTCCTAGAAGCAGAGCCTGAGACAGAGATTCAGATGCATGGAATTTACTGAGGGAATGCTCCCAGGAGACACCTGGAGCTGAATGAACGATGCAGGGAAGGGGAAAGAGCCCAGCAAGGAGATGGCACAGGTAAGTCTAAGCTTGGCCTGATCCATGAGGGTATCGGAGTATTAAGCACACTGCAGAACTGATCCCAACTCAAAGTGGTTGGACTTTTGTATACATTGGCCCTTAGATGGGGGGTGCCTGGAGGTGGGAAATAGGCATAACTTCTTGGATGAGGCAGCTCTCGGGGGCCTTCTGTAAGCCATTTTCAGCCAACTCTGAAACTGAAGGGTGGTGCACCAGTCCAGAAATAGGATTCTGGGCCAGGCACCAACAGGATTTTCCACAGAACCAAAATTTGAATTCAGATCTCCAGCCTCCTATATAGCTTCTTTTCAGAACATAATGTTGTCCAGGTCTTACCTTTTTTATTCCTACTCCATACACCATAACTCAACCTCTTATGCTTTCTTCCCTCTAATCCTTATAGTAAGCAAGGTAAAACAATAAACTACCAGATTAATTTTCTCCTGACCCTTTGTTTCTTCAGCTGCTCAGATTTGTGAGAGGTGGTGTTCAGTGTCCCTGACAATATCAGGGCACTGTTTTGGCATGCTGCACTATTTTGTGTCCTTGAATTAATATGGATTTTGGTATTGTGTCAATAGTGATAAATCTAAAATTCACTTTCTCAGCCTAGGTACCCAATCTACTGCTTCTTGCTTAACAGAAAGCATTGAACAAAGCATTTAGGCCAAACAAATCCACTTTAAAAGAACATACTGAAAATGTAAGGATAATAGAAACAAAAAGCTAGACCACACAGGAAGATTCAAGCTATCACATATCTCAAATAATAGAAGTCTGTGAATTCATGCTGGCAGACCTAAGTAGGTCACCTAATCAGTTGTTTACTGTGCTGTTGGATATGAAGCATGATAAAGTAAGCAGAGAAGAAACCGTATGAGCTCCATCTCCATAACAACAGAGAAGAGAACAATTACAAGAGACGCAGGCCAACCACCTCCACAAAAGCAGTTTTAACCTCAGAGCAATGAGCAGTGACATAGCAAACTGCTGCTGATGTCTGAATAACACAGGGCATTGAGCCAGGTAAAAACTTTCCCTTTTCAGAGGACTGAAGACTTTGATCCATGGACAGATTTGCTGAACCAGCTGAAACCTTCAAAGGACCAAGCTAAATACTGCCAGACTAATGTAAGACAGAAGAATGAGAGTTTATAAGTAATTTAATTGTAGTATATCCTATATTAAAGTTTAGACAGCAAGATATACCAGTAAATATGAAGAGATTGGGGCATTGTCAAAACTTAGCTGATTATCAAGAATGCATCTTGTCTTAGACATGGTACTGTAAATTTTAACTTGTTGTTAAGGTCTAAATAACATTTTGAAATTAGCTTGTCTTCCTTTTCTCTATCTTCCTGAAATATAAAAAAAATTAAACCAAATTAAACCTTTAACTCCACTTTTTCATGATTGCTCTCCCCATTTTCAATATTTTTTTCAACAAAGTTTTCAAAGCAATCTAGTTGATTTTCTTGTATTTATTATTCTTTTTAATACACAGAGGAACTTGTTCGGGAGATTTGTTTACAGAGATTTTTGCTGGTGGATTAGGAATTTTATCTTCCAGCATGAAAATCACCATCGAATCCAACTGATCTGCTTTTTAGAAAGTATAAACTCGGGACATTTAAACTTGATCTTTGATTTTACATGTCTGGACATTCTCCAGAGAACTGGGTAATTCTCGGAGAAATTCTGAGTCTTGATTTTTTTCTTTTTTCTTTTTTTTCAGCCAATAAACAATATATTTGAAAGGATTGCTAATAGCAAATCCAATGTATCAGTAATTACATCTCAGCCCCTAACAAATTCTTCCAAAGGGGATTCAAACTTCTGAGAATCCCTTTCTCTCCTTTCCTCCAGCATCAGTCCTTTATCCCTTGAATTTCTATAGACTGGAAAGTTCCATTGTATTGAGCAGCAGGGACTAGATATCTTAGAAGGCAGCCAAATTCTACAGACTATCAACAGAACAGTTGGTAAAGGAATGGAAAAATATCATTCAAGAAATCTTTGTTGGCTTAAGTGGACACAGCCAGGTGGAATTGCATGCCTATCTTTGCAAGTCAAAATTGACACCAGGAAGCTCTAATGAAAATTGTGCTACTCAACAAAGCTATATGTAAATTCATTATAGACACTGAATAAATTCATTCCCAAAATCTGGAACATTATTCATTTCCCTTTATTCTTTGCACCATATATAATTAAATTAAGAAATTATAATTTAGGTCCGTCTATTGTATAGAGACTTGATTTAATGTAATCAGTCTTCAGAAGAGACCTGCTCCTAGTAACCTCTGTTGCCCTTTTAAGAGCATCAAAGCAGTATCTAGATAGTTTAGAGCACAGCCTGTGATGCTGGATTGCAAGCCCAGCCCAGCCACTGCCTATTACTAGCCATGTGTGAATTGGGGTGAGTTGCTGAACCTCTCGAAGCACTGGTTTTCCTATCTCCACAAAGGAGTCATAATGATAATAATTACCTCACTAGTCATTAGTGAAGATCTGATGAGTCAATGTGAGCAAAGCCCTCTGCCCCATACCTGACACAGTAAGTGCTCAACAAGTGGTTGCTTATTATCTTGTTTGAAAAGGAAGACATACAATATTTTTACTATATACTGCTGTTCCCAAAATGTAATTGTATAATTAAAGTTGAATGAAAATGTTTCTATCGATGAAGACTTTTGAAATTTCTAGACTATAAAGCTGATTTTACTTTCTTGTGTAAAATCCTTTAGTGATTCCCCATGATCTTGCTGACAATATGCAAACCCCTTGTTACAATACACAAATCCTCTCATTGTCTTCTCCCTCCTTGCTCCACATTTCCTCAGCTTTATCTACTACCACTCCTGGCTTGAATAAATGCAGCAGTCATATGAAACTACTCACAGCCCTTGAACATGCCATGCTGTTCATGCCCCTGTGCCCTTGTCTATGCTGTTCCCTCTGTCTGGAAGGCCTTCTCCTTACCTTCCTTTATCTCCTGCCGAACCTGTGCTCCTCCGTCATGATCTAGCTCAAGCATTGTTTCTTCTGGGTAGTCTTTGCTGACGCTTCCCCTTCCCTAAGCAAAACTAATCACTATTTTGCATTAGATTCAATTATCATACAAGACGTTAAAGCAAGTGTTTACATGTCTGCCTCCATTAAGCGATGAGTTTACTGACTGTAGGCATGGACTTTGTCCTGTTCATTATTTCTCCAACATAGAACATTCTGTTTCATTCATCTACCTGTTCACTAATGTTTGTTTTAATGAATGAATTATTGACCAAATGTATTCATCAACATTTTTACCAGTTCTCACCGCCTCCATTGCTCCACCCTGATCCAAACCATCATTGCCTCCAAGTTCGTTTCTCTGTATCCATCTGCCTTTCCACAGTCTATTCTCAGAAAAACAGCCAGATTGATACTGAATACCCTCCAATGGTTTCTCATCACTTTCAAAGTAAAGCTCAAAGTCCTTACAACATCCTTGTGGCAGGAATGATAAGGACTCCATTGCCTCATGAACCTCATTTCCTCCAATTTACATCCTCTACCACTTCACTCCATCCACACCGGCCGCCTTTTTATTCCTTGAGCACTCTAAGCTTGTATTTAGTTCTCTCTGCCTGGCAAGCTCTTCACTCACCTATCTGAACAGCTCCCTCCTTCACTTTGTTTGAGTCTTTGCTTCAATATCAATTTATTTTAGAACTCTCTCTGGTCACCCAACATAAAATAACTCCACCAGCATCAACCATGCCCCAGCTCTCTGAACTCCCTTATCCTCCTTCTATATTTTTCTCCCTGTACTCATTTCCAACTTATTTATATGCAATATGTTTACTTTTGCATTTGTTTATTGCTTGTCTTTCTCACTTGTATATAAGCAATTGATAAGTATGTGTTTAATAAATTAATATTATATTTAACATTATGCCCATCATAGAATACTATTCTGTTCTATCTGGCTAATTCATAGTTTTAGTTTACCTTCTGCCACCTCTATTGTTTTTCCTTTCATTCCTTAACACAGAAAACTCAGAATGGGACAAAACTGAGAAATGTATGTAAGTTGAGCAGTCATACTTAGGAGGTTATTCTTTTTATGGCATGAAGGCAGAGGGCCTTAGGAAACTTTATAAAATAGGCAGTTGGTCTTTGAGCCTCAGTTTGTTATTCCTATGTACATCACGTATCCCACTCATACCATTTGCCTTTCTCATTTCAAGTAGTCAGCACTTTGTATTCTTTCTCTTCAATTTGGAATTCTGATTGACCCCCATTCAAATCAATGGTCGCTTTCTTCTATACTAGACACTCTCAGGGAGGGGCTTCTTGCTTTCTTCCTACTATAGACTTTTTTCAGGAAGCATCAGAAACTCAAGCATGCTAAATCCTGAGAGTATTTGAATTTTGCCAGAGATTAAAGTCTTAAAATAGAAAACTAAAGTTCTACTGTGGATTACGTAACACCAGCAGGAACGAGCAGGAGCTAAAATTTTTTATGTTAGTCTTGTTAACCCTGAAATCACACATCTAGGAGGTCATCTCTCCAGTACTAGGTACTAGGCAAAATAGAAAAGTAACTAACCTTCTCAAAAGTTGAGACTTAGCTTTTATTAAACATCAAGAACTAGAAGAGTGTCAAGCACATCGTGGACATTATGTAAACATGTATTATTTCTTTACTTTAGTTAAAGATTTCTGTGGCTCAGTGGAAATCTAACAAACTTTAAAGGAGAATTTTACAAGGTTTCTACAATTATGATTTTACTGAGTTTCCTTGCTTTACAACTTCCTTGCTATTTTTCCCGTGCTCTTCATGTTTTTTCCTGGTCCAGAATTCCTAGCAATTTTCTATGTGTCTAGACCATAATAAACTGATACCTTTTCCAGAAGGCAATGGGGGCATTTTTATAGAGCTTTTCAAAGTCCTTTCATGTGATTACCCAAGTTTCTCTTAGCCCTCATATAGGAGAGTTCAGTGATTTGTCCAAGGTCATAGAGCTGGTTAGTGACAAAAGATGGATGAATCACACCCAGTGACCATGAGGGAGGGCCCTTGGTGCTGTATTATCCTCATATGCAAGGAGGATGTTACTAATCTACCATCATCGGGACTCACACTTTGAGTTGCGATTCCAATAACAATGGTAGATTTGCTTTGATCCACCCGCAAAATCCCAGTTTCATTCATGACCTACAGAGTATGTTTTTTTTAATATTCAATTAATTATGTAAGAGCCAGCAATTGCATAAGATCTAGAAGTGGCCAACTGTTTTGAATCCCTACAGTAAGATTCTCTAAACAACTGGTTTAAATAGAGACCTGGCTTGCTGGGAAGCAATCAACAGAGCACCAGGTAATTAGGTCCAGGAATACCCATCCATCCAGACAGGCCTGGGCCTATAGTCCTAACAGGTATTGGGTTTTTGTTCTGGTTTTGGTAGTGCTGTTTGTTGTTGCTAAATTTTAAAATGTTTTAATGTATTTTTATTACACAACGCTTTCTTGGTGAAGGACATGAATACTTTTAAAGCAATTAATAAATCATGAATTGTCTTATAAATATTTTATGATGACTGAAGTGATCAAGTCAAAATTGCATTTATGCTGCACGTGTTTTTAAAACAAACATTTTATTTCATTACTTTTGACTCCTAATCCAGTGAAGACTCTAGGAAAATAGTTAAGTGCTAAGGAAATAGAGGAACCGAGGCAGAAAAGTTAAATCAGTGTTAAAGGACTCAGATTGAATCACTGAACAAGCAGAGAGAAAATATCTTTTCCTTTCCTAATCTTCCCTTTATACTTGCCATTTGTTAACATGGGTCACTGCTGTCACATTAACCACTGTGGATTATGAGTGCTATCAGGAGGCTGAATTAAATTCTTATTAAACCTTCATTTGGAGGTTTGTGTCACACGTCTTCAGTTGTCTGGAGTTGTGGTTAGATATGCACCTGTGTAATTCAGGGAGGCAAGGGTCAAAATGGTTGAATTGCAGATAGGATATGCTGTGTTTTCAAGAAATACTTTAAAACCACAGCATAACTTTCTGATTTGTTTAACAAGATCTTAAATTCTCAAAAATGCAAGAATCATATAGAATAATTTGGAGGGGGAATATTAATACCAATGCTCATGCTTTCCTTTATTCTATCCTGTTCCTTTTACATTCAGAAATCGGGAAGAGATAAAAATCTACAGATGCAGTCATTTCTTGATTATCGGCGAAGGATAATTACAAATTAAGCCAATCTGTTCTTTCCTTACTCCTATGTAACTTAGTCTACATGTCAACTGACATATCATGCACTGGAACCTCTTTAGGAGATAACCTTGCGGAGGAGACTCAGCACCAGTCACTGCAAAGCAGTGTTTCCTCTTTTGAAAGATGTGTCTTGTGGAGCAACAATATTAGGATTACTGAAATGGTTATTAAAGTGCCGATTTCCAGGTCCCAGACTAAACCTCTTGAAACAGACTTTCCAAGGCGGGAACCAGCAATCTGCATTTTTAATAGGCTCCTGAGTAAATCACACACTAGGGAATTACTGGAGGCTAATTTATAACTCTCATTCAGCTCCTCTTGGAGTCAAAAAAGGAAAAGATTAAAGTTAAAAAAAAAAAAGAAAGCCACTCAAGATTTTTGCAAAAGCACTAGATGAGAAGCGTCCAGTGTAGCAAGAGTCTAAACAATCTAACCAAAGTACAAATATAAAGTAAGGCAACCCTCTCTACAAGATATGGTTAAAAACATATGCATTCGAGTATAAAATATCTTGGTGAGAAGAAAAAAGGAAATGAGAATGGAAAGTTACTAAAGAAATAAAAAAGCAATTGATCATTGATCACGTATAACAGAGATCACCTCCGCTACACAGTTTGTAGGTTTTGCTCTGTGTAAATCATGACTCCACATGAATGTCTTTCAAACATTGTGTATTTTCAAAGTTTGTTTCCTGAATTTTTAATCTAGAATCCTAGCTGAGAAACTAATTAATTTTTAATTGGGAAAATTCATCAGATTACATCTAGAGTTAAGATAACATGAATACTTAGCCCCAGTTAAGATAAATATAAAAACTGTGCACAAACAAAAACAAACAAACAAAACAGTGTGAGGGGAAAAGAGACAGAAGGAGATAGAGATATAGATGAAAGGAGGTGAATAAGTTTTCTTGGAAACATGTACTTCACATCTACCTGTAAGAGGCTGCAGAGTAACATTTTCCAAGGATAAAACAGTCCTCTAGAAATATTTTTCCATAGTGGAATTACACAAAGGAAAATAATACGTGTGTGCCCTTGGGGTGGGATGGCCAGAAAACATTTAAGAAAATGAAACACTCCACTAGCCTTAAGCACCGACTATAATAAAATCTTGGCACTTACAGATTTGACATTCATGGTTTTGACTATTGTAGAGTGACTGGGTCCCCTGCATGAGGTAATCTGTAATTTTGATGAGGCACAATTTGAATTACATATGTTGAAAGGGCGAGATGTCAGAGGGAGTCCTGCAGTCCGTGAGGGCAGTTGGGCAGTGGCCTGGAAGTGGAGACGTGACCATCATTATGCATGAGCAATAAATCGTATGCACTGTGTCCTGTACCATCCAGAAGTTAGCTTTTAGAACTGGTGATAGAAGTAAAGAAAAAGTCAAAGAAATACAGGGATCTTTGCAAGAAAACAGAATTTTGAAATTCAAGAATGCTATATCACTGATAAGAAGAAACTCCGTTTATTCCCCATACAGAAGAGCATAGTATAATGGTTACACATATGAACTCTGGAACCAGACTTCTTGCATTTTAATCAAATTGATTTCTGATCAATTCTCAGCAGCGCCTGCCTCAGTTTTCTCATCTGGAAAGTGAGGTTATTATAGTCTATCTCTCAAAGGGTTATTATGAGGGTTGAAATTAGTTAATATTTACAAAGAGTTTACAACAGTACTATAACAGTGTTCGCTTAAATAAATTCGGATAGGATTAGTATGACTGTTTCAGGACATGTTCCAACCAGATCAGAGATAGGTCATCAAGTGAGAAAGAAATTCTTAGCAACATTTGAAAAGACAGTTTGCATAGGAGGCATGCATCCTTGATGGAAATATGACTTTCAGGAAAGCCAGGAGTGGATAAATAATACTGGTTTGTGATTCTGCGAGTTTTGACAGGATGCATCCTCTCTGAAGAGTAAACATCCACTATATTTTATACTGAGCTGATAAAGACAATAAATGATTTCAATAGGGAAAATCTTTATGTCCCAAAAAATATGAAAACAACTTCACGTAATACTCAACTGATAGAAAAATAATGGCATATATCCTCCTTAAGGATTCATAGAAGCTTTATTTTCCTGTAGTAACATCATCTATGAGACAGGCATATTGTCTTGATCTTCCTGTTTTTTGCTTTGTCAAGTGTATTCCTTGGCACTTGACAAATAAATGAGCATCACCATAATCATAACTTGACTGTATATAGTCCATTTCCTCAAGAAGCTGTATGAACATAAAACATACATTCTCCTCTTCCATCCTGCCAGCCTGTCACTGAGGCTGGCCTTCAATAGGACTCTGGTGCATTCCAATTTACAGGCAAGCATTACTTATTGTTGGGGAGACTCTCTAAAGATGAAGAACGCAGGTCCTGTGCTATTAGGAAGAATAAAGTAGCTTTCAAAGAATGGTGACATCACCCAGCAAAACGCTGTCGTTAGACTGAAATATATGGGAGAGGTTCAATTAAATTCACAGTCTGCAAGGTAATTTAAAGGCCTCTTTCTCCAAATTAGTGTATATAAATGCTCAATTTTTATTCTTAACCTTGCTGGGATCAGTAACATCAAATACATAATAGAATTGGCAAGTAAATGTTTCATTTGTTCAGGGCAGAATCTTTCTGTGGCTCTACACTCAGAAAATACCCCGCCCCAACATCAACCTGCAATTTCCCTCAAGTAATTCACCTTAAGATAATTATTTACCTGCAGTTGTGTTTAAATCCCAATTTTAACAGGTCCATGTGGCTTGTTAAAAGAAAATAATGTAACGTGATAGAAATGATACAATGTGGCTGATCGCATTTATCTTCACAACCAAGATATCTCATTGCTCTTTACAGGGAAAAATAGATGTCATGTGACTCCAGTCACCCTAGATTTCCCTCAAGAGTCATAGGGTACATGCTATGATTGCTCTTTCTCTTCTCTGGGGCCAAAACACTTTCAGGAAAATATTCTGAGTGACACACAATTGGGAAATGATTCAAGCTGCATCACTGGCTAAATTCTTTTGTCATCTTTATGCAATTAAATGATTAGCAGCAGGGCCAAATGGCTACTGTCTCACTGGGTGTTGGCTGCCTACCTCATTCCACTACTGCCAGTGATGTGCTGTCTGAAAGACCAAAATGGCAGCTGAGGTCATCCTGTCCTTTGAGGTGTAAGTAAAATAACCTCAAGGTTAAATGTAATGCCTTCTCTATGTTTCTGAGAACTTTGGGGGCTTAAATTTTCATTGCAACTTCCCACTCTGAATTTCTTCAGGTTCCTGTGGATTCGAAGACTTTTGTCTCAAAGCCATTCTCAGCCTTCTGCTCTGGGAAGGCTCAGATATAGAATTCAGGTCTTTTCTCTGACTTCTCCCAGCTCAAGGTAATCACGTCTAGCACTAAAGGTCTGGAGTTTCAGGATGTTTTGTTTTACTTAATTTGGCACTTTAACATTTTAATACAGATAATTAACATATTTAGTTAGACACTGTTCAGCCTCCTCTCTTCTGGAAAGCTCTCTCACTTTTCAGACCTCCCCCCTATTTGTTATGTACAGCAATTTAGTTCACCATTCCCTACTCTGTCCAAGACCTGACACTAGATGTCTGCAAATCCTACTAAAGTAAGGGTCCTCTGCTCTGGGTCTCACTCTTCAGCAGCACAGAAGAACTCGTGGATGTTCTGAGGTTGCAGAATTTCGTCTTTCCCATACCAGTCTCAGTGCAAGCTTCCCCACCCACTCCCTACCCCTAGATATATATTCAAACTCTACCATTCACACTAGGGGTATTAAGTCATACCCTCTGCGGCCATTTGGACTAACAAAGTGATTTGACTCCTTTGACTTACTTTCCAAGTCTATTAAAAAATATTTGAAGTGGTCCAAAACTATCTAAGTCAATCAAACAGCTAACTTGGTCTTCCACCTTCACTACTTGCCTCCCTCCCTTCCTTCTTTCTTACTATTATGACTAAAACCAATTTACAAAAAAATCATTCTAATTTGTAGGAGAAGAGGAAATCTGGGTCATATAAATTTACACCTATAGTTTTAAAACTCTCATGTCCCTTCAGGAGTGTTACTGTTAATATTTTTCTCTAAATGCTTAAAGCCTTATTTAGATATTGTGCCATGTATCTTTGTGAAGTGAACTTCAATCTCTAACTCCAAAGAGGTAAAATAGGATCTGCATTGTTCATGAACACAAATAAAGTATTCAAGATTGCATATAAATTAAATGTCATATACCCTTTGTTTGCCTAGGCAATGGACAATAAAATAGGGTCATAATAACATTGGCAAAAACAATATTTCTCTAGTTCTGCTCCTATTTGCTTGATTAAAAAAACTCCAGCCCTCTCAAATCCCTTCTAATTAATTCTGGAAGTCATGCCTCACCTTTGTTTTCAGCAACTGCCAGACAGGGAACATTTTCATCGCCTCCTGCTCAGGCCCTGCTTCCTGGAGCAATGTCTGCTGTTGAGGATCCCAAAGCTAGAACCAAAGGTATCATGATTTGTGCCGGGGCTCCTTGCTCTGATTGTCTCCCAATTCCAAATGTAGATAAGCATGGCTTCCTGTTCAGACATCTGTCATCTGTCCTCCAACATTTCCCCTTCTCCCATCTTGAAGTAAACCTTTGTGACATAATCGACAAGTAAGGTTTATTGCCTTATGCTTTCTCTGTCTTAGTGTGATTTTAGTAAAGCAGCTCTTCTTTCTTACTTCTCAAATGTAATTTCCTCTCTAAGACACACAATGTATTAGGCTGGGATCCAAGAGCAGGTGCTATTCTCACCTCCAACTGTTCGCTGCTTCTCTTTCTCTTTCTTTAGGTAAGTCCTAAAGAAAGTCCTCTGTGCCTTTCAGAGCTCCCCAGAGATCCTTCCTCTAAATGGGACTTTAAAAATGTCCAGACATTGAATTAATACAGCAAAGAGTCAAGCTGTGAGCCCAACTTCAATAGATTTGTCAACAGGTAAGCGCAGAAGAGGGCAGAACAAAAGCTGGAGATCAAGTCTTTTACTTATCCTAAGTCCCTAAATTTCTAGTTTTGGAAAGAAGGAAGCTGTTTTTCACTCTTTAGCCCCTCTCTCCCTCTATCCCCCTTACTCTTTTTTTCCCTTTCTTTCCGATTGTCTATGTTTCAGGGTACTGGCTTTTACGTGCTTCCTCCAAAAAGTAGAGATAGGTCCAAAAATAAACATGATCAGGATAAAAACAGTACTAAGTCAGGGTTAAAACTCTACACCTGAGAAACACAGATGGTCTTCATAAACAACTGCTCTATAATTTCAGTTCATGGCTAATAGCCCCACAGTCTAAAGAGAGCCATGTGATGAGCAATCTGTGTTTAAAATCATGGGTTAGTGATTAGTAGCTAATCACTGTTTTTGTAATTTTCATGTTAGTATCAGTATCTCATTAGAATGCAGGTGAAGATGAGAGAATAAATAAAAATAAAATATCATCTGTGCAGAATGTTTTCAACCCCTTGAAATTACTCCAGAAATACAAGATGATATTTGACTTACACTATTGCTAGGATCTTGGATGATAGGCTAAAGTGGCTAATTGTCTTCCTCCTCACTCCTTTGCCGCTCCCAGGGGAACTAACTTCCTCTGAGAACTGGGAGCATGGGGCATGCTGCCCTCCTCGAGGTTAAAGTGGATCCTTAACTGTGAGGTGCTGACTGGTGGGGCTTGAAGCTATGTGAGCTTCTTGGACAAATGAAAGAGTAATCTGCTGATGTATACCTTTCTCACAGATTTTTTTTAAGATTTTTAAATTTTTTTCCTTTTTCTCCCCAAAGCCTCCCGGTACATAGTTGTATACTCTTCATTGTGGGTCCTTCTAGTTGTGGCATGTGGGACACTGCCTCAGTGTGGCTTGATGAGCAGTGCCATGTACGCGCCCAGGATTCGAACCAACGAAACACTGGGCCTCCTGCAGCGGAGCGTGCAAACTTAACCACTCCACCATGGGGCCGGCCCCATCTCACAGATTTTTTTAATTACTTCCTTTTATTCTTTTTCATTTTTCCCCAGTTATATGCTTCCTTTGGTCTACTTTGAGGAGAGTTTTTCTTCCTAAAGTCTCTTGATAACTGCCAACAAATCCTCCTCAAACAAACCCACAGATGAACTCTTCAGTACCTTTAGCAACTTGAGCTTAGGTAAAATGGTGGGAAGAGGAAGTTGCCTAGAACCAAAGCTTTCAAAATGCTTCACTTTACCCCAGCGCCACTGTAGAACTGTTTAAACCATGGCATTTATAAGGAAAGTTAACTGTGTGTCACAGTAATATATGTATGTTTCTTCTTTATTGTCAATGTGCATTGCAAATGCTTTAAAATAACTAAATGTCAGAATTATAGAAATGCTTATACTTTTTCATTCTTGTTTGTGTTCACCTTGGCAATCTGACTAGCGTGGCCTCTGCACATTTACAACATCCTAGTATTTCTCTTTAGAGTGTCAAGAGACTATAATAGAGTCTGTGTCTACACGCACCAAAAAAAGTGACAGATTAAAGGACAAACATTATCAGTTGTTTGGATAGCTTGTTTACCTGTGCCAAAATGAACTGATTAAATGGCTATGTGTTTAAAAGAGCAAACAAAGGTGTCAAATTGAACAAGTGAAGAGAGTAATAGAGAAAGGACTCATTTGTCACTTCTTAATATTGCTATATACACATAGGCAATGTTGAATGTTATTTCTATGTAACATCTTTAAAATGCTAATCTAGGGATTATCTATATATTCTATTATTTGTATGTTTGGGAGGCATACAGGATACTGTCTCGACATTATGTGATTTTTTCCAATGTCATTAAAATTAATCTCTTCCTATTCATCTAGCATGACTAATAATTTAAGGTAGCTCAGTAATAATTACTGTAATCTATATGTAACTCTTGCATAAAAGATACACAGATTTTAAAGTAGATGGGTGATAGTAACTTTACAGTGGAGACACCCAGCAGACATCACCTTAACCATATGTTATTCTGATATCATATGTCCCTAATATGGTGTGATGACAAGAGCACATCACCTCTGTGATATTCTTCCCCAAACTCTACAACTTAAATCTATTATGAGAAAACATCAGGCAAACCCAAACTGAGAGACGACCTACAAAATAATTATCCAGTACTCTTCAAAAGTATCAATGTCATGAAAGACAAGGAAACACCAAGAAATAGTCACAGATCAGAAGAGATTAGGAGACATGATGCCTAAATGCAATGTGGTGTCCTGGCTATCCAGAAAAAGAACATTAGTAGAAGAACGAATTCGAACAAAGGCTATAGTTTGGTTAGGAGTACCAAGCCAACATTCATTTCTTAGTTTTGATAAATACATAGAGGTTATGTAATAAGTTAACATTAGAGGAAGCTGGGTGAAGGGTATAAAGAAACACTCTGCTATCTTTGCAACTCTTCTATAAAGCTAAAATTATTTTGAAAAAAAATTTATTTAAAAATGAACTAGTAACTCAGCTAATTTATAAGTTTGTTAATTCAAGATACTTAAAATATCTAGAGTGATGTAAGAAGTTCAGTTCTGGTATATATCTATATACCTCTTTATATCTGTATCTAGAGACAGAGATAGAGACATACAAACATTCACACATACACAAAAGCACACATTCATGTTAGCTTTCTCAGTAAGCATGGGATGGCAGGGGTGGGAAGTGTGTTCTGCTTTAGTGTAGAAAATAAAATGCACATAAACTAAAAAGTCCTGATGAAATCTGAGATTTCGGTTTAATATTGATGATATTTCTTTCTTTCCTAAGCCCATTAGCTCACATCTCCATAATACATCAGTTCAGAGTGACATCTATAAAAGTGTTTCTTGCCAGTTTGTTCTCTCTAAAATTCTCACTCCTTATCCTATCTGGCTTTGCAAATACATAATATATCTGTGTTGCATCACTTCCTTTAAAGCAGCTTCCAGTGACATTCACTGACTTCAAATGTGGCTTAACTGTTCCAACATCTGATGCAAATGGCTTCTTTAATTCTCCTCAGATCAAGCCACTCATCTTTGGGTCTAACTGTTGCTTATCATCATCTGTGTATCCGTCTGCTCTACTTTTCTTCCGTCTGTTCGGGCTTAGGCAAGTTTACTGTGGAGCAATTGCATTCCTCACTATTGCCAAAAGAGGTTTTATTTCATGTAATTTTACAGAGCCGAACTACTCCCCTAAAAGTAGCCACCCCACTAGATCCAAGCTCATCAAGCTCACTGGTAATAGTGGGGGAGGAAACATAGCCAAGAACTTTTAAGAGTTGACATCAGGAAACAAAGAAGCAAACCCTCAGGGTACATGTTTCCGTTTGTTTACCATCCAGGACTGGATGACCAATTCAGAAAAACTGAAGGTATTGTCTGATCCTCTATGACGTTCATTCAGTGAAATTTAAAATGCCATTAGGAAGGTGATCTTAACCATAAGTGCCATATATCTAGCCAGGCTTTGGGACTATGAAATTGTAATGTTTTTCAGAAAGACATACAAATCTCTTGATGAATATCAAGTTTATATGAGTTTCTGTCTTTTTTTTTTTTTTTTTTGACAGAGGATGGAAGTGACTGCTCACTTTTTGCATTACACTTTTCACCTTTTAAAATGATTTGGTAATAGGTATGCATGCAAAGAATTTGGGAATAAAATGTTTTAGGAATTTAGGAAATGACTAGCAGCTTTGAAAGAACAAATTTATGTATTGATATTCTGTTATACTAATAATATTTAAAGGAAGAAGGATGGGGTAATCTCATTCTCCTCTCTGAGACTGGGAAAAAGACTCTGCATTATGCTTTTTGTTTCCTAACAAGATGAAGTAAGAAGTCTGAGACCAGATAAAAATATGATGCTGTCATTCGTGAAATATTATTCTTTCCCTTTGTCTACATCACATCTGAAAATAATGACGCTGAAAATCTCTTCTGTTTTATATTTTGCCTTACATTTTATACTTAAATTCTCATATAAAGTCATGATTTTATGCTTAAAATCTCATTAGATTGGGGCCAGCCTGGTGGTGTATCAGTTAAGTTCGCACGCTCCACTTCAGCAACCCAGGGTTCACCAGTTCGGATCCCAGGGGTGGGCTTATGCACTGCTTATCAAGACATGCTGTGGCAGGAGTCCCACATATAAAAGAGAGGAAGATGGGCACAGATGTTAGCTTAGAGTCAATCTTCCTCAGCAAAAAGAGGAAGATTTGCAACAGATGTTAGTCAGGGATAATATTTCTCCAAAAAAAATCTATTAGATTTTGTTGTAATAAAAATATAATTCAGAAAAAAAATAAATTATAATATACGTTTCATCAAAATGTACATGTGATATTTTATATCATTCAATAGCTTTCTAGGAGACCACAGAAAGACATAATATTTCTATGGGCACAATTCACATTCTTAGGGTAAATGCTTACATAACTGGAAGGCAGCAAAAAGAAATACATCAGGGATGTTCTTGTGGAAGAGAATGTTCCAGCAGTGTGTGGTCTTACCCAGTTGGCCTATTTTACCCAGAGGAAGTGAGCTAAAGTGGGTCTGATGTACCCAATACATTATTCATTAACAGTGAGCACTTCATCTCTATCTGTGCCAAAAGCAGATTCAACCAATCTGCCTACCATTCCTTGCCATTCCTTTACAAGGGAATAAAAGCAAAGTACTCAATAGTCCTGTAAAGAAATAATATGAGATATAAATAAGACACAATATAGGGTTATTGGAGAACTGGTAATAAAGTCAATTGTTGACATTTACTAAAATAAACTAAATATGGATAATTTTGTTATGCAGAGATCACATTAGAATGAGGAAGTGAATATTTCTATGACACTATTGGTCAATGTGGCACAGATGGCTAATGTCCAACAAAATTTTATGCTCCCCTTCCACATGGAAGATTCAACTTTATGGGCTATTGACTTACTCAAGAACTACATTTCCCAGACTCCCCTTGCATCCAAGAGCCATGTGTTTTGCTCTCACCAGTGAATATGGGTTGATTTGATGTTTGTCATTTTCACACTGGAGTTTTTAAAAGCAGATGTTAATTCTCCATTGTCTCTTGTCTTTTGACCTAAGAGCCCCCATGGGATGTCAAAGCCACAAGATGGAAGGAGCCTGGGTTTTGGAATTACCACATGGAGGAAACTTTCCGCCCACTTGGGACATTCATGTAGAACTGTTAAGTTGTGAGAAATAAACTTTTATCACATTAAAACTCTCAATTTAGGGTTTAATTGCTAACAGCACCTAGCATTACGCTGTCTTATACAGTCAGGTATTGCTCCATCAACGCATGCAGATAGATAGGTAGAAAGAAGTCAACAGCATCAATAACTATGCCCTACAAAGGCATCAGAGGAAGGGAGAGACAATACATAGAAGACAAACTCTCTAAGCAGAGACTGAGTTTTTACGCCTGATAAGTAGAAGAAAAAAATATGAGTCCACAATTACTGGAACTGAAAACACTGGAAAGAATGTTCTCTCTGAGACAGGAAGGATAACCAACATGAAGTTTTCAAAGGGAATAAATAAATTACATTAGAAATAACTGCTGCCCACTCATTAGGAAAGTTTCTAAAGACAAAGAGGATTAGAGAAGAATTACAGAAGAAAGACTGAACCTGCAGTGACTTGCCTGGGTCTCCATCCCTATAGATTTCACTCTCTACACACATGTATTCCAAGGGTGGAGGGAGAGGTGGACAGAGGAGAAGGGCAGGAAATCACTCATACTCCTCTTAAAGACTGAATCTTAGTCAAAGAGAACTTACTTCTCTGTTTAAGTATCAGTTCATTGTGAAACATTCCTAATTTCTCTATATTTCTCCATATGTTCCCTCCCTCTAAACATTTTGGGTTCCTTTGGCACCCACAAAACTTTGTGTAAGCCTCTATCCAGCACTAATAAAGCGTGGGAGGGCTGTTTCTCTAGAAGTACTCTCTCACCATCAGTGATAGCTTGAGTACAGGTGCCTGTCGGATTCTTCTCTGTAACCCCAGGAGTCAATTATTCATAAAATATTTATAGAACAGCTATTATGTTCCAGACCCTATGCTAAGTACTGATGGTAGAATGGTGAACAAGACCAACAAGATCTCTGGCCTTCTGGAAACTACATTCTAAAAGGGATTAAAAAAGGAAAAAGATAGAAAAACATTGAATTGTTTTAAGTTAATAATTTCTATGATAAAAAATGAGGAAGAAATAGGGAAAAGCAGAGGAGGGCCTTCATCAGGTAGGATAATCAAGGCAAGTCTCCTGAGAGGAGAGAATTCAAAGATGAGATTTGAAAGAAGAGAAATACTATCTATGCAAAAGTTGTGTGTGCATTTGTGATGGGGGACATCTCTACAGAAGAAAGAGTAGTTGCAGAAGCTCAGAATCAGGAAATACTTGATATGCTTATATAATTTTAAAAGGCTAGTGTGAGTGTGAATGCAGTGAGTGAAGGCAGCATGGCATGGGATGAGGTAGGGAAGTAGACAGTTTTGGAAACCATAGTAAGGAATTTGGATTTTATTCTAAGTACAATGGAAGACCACTGCAGTGTTCGAAGCAAGAAACTGATATTACCCAATGTGGATTTTGAGAAGAGCATTTTTGCATGGGGAATGTATTGGTATGGAGGAAGGACTTTGTAGCTATGTATATAAATGATCCAAAATGATAGATGTTGAAGACTCAGACCAAGATGAAGGCAATATTTTAGCCATTTACTTCACAGAATGTGCTGAAGAACTGAATGTAAGCATTGACAGAGTAAGAAATCTAGGATGACTCTCAGGCTTGAGAAACTGCTTAGAATGTGGAGATGGAGAAGATGTTTTGTGGTAGTGAGAGAAACAGATGGATACAGGTTGGGGAGGGTGGAGGGGAAAGAAATCAAGAGTTCCATTACAATGATTTACAAGCGAATGAGATATCCAAGAGCAGATGTCAAGTAAACAGTTGCATAGGCTAGTCTGGAGCAGAGAGGAGGTCTGAGCTGCATAGGACATTTGGGGTGACCATCATAAGATGTAATTGAATCTGAGAGTTACTCAGAGGTAGAGCATATGACGACAACTCAGTACCTTACAGAGTGCTTCATGTATATTTGTTGAATGAGGATGAGAATCCTGACCTTATTGCTAGTGCCCATGAGTAGGTCACTGCCTCTACACCCTGCCTGCTGCACCCCAACCCGGCCCTACTTTTTCTATACCAGTTGCCTAGTATGATTCTTATACAGTGTCTGCTGCCTAACTTCTCAGATATTCCATCCATTCAGCTCAGCTTCTTCATACCGCATCCTAAGGAGACCCTCAGAACACATAGCTTTACTCCCTAGTGCCAGAATTCCTATCCTTCATATTTTGATCTGTTTTTCTAATGGTGAGATTTTTATTCCCATAAGAATATAAACAAAAAATATATGTCCAGATGGTTCCCCAAACTAAGAGAGATGGTGAGATTCACTCGCAAGTAGGTATATAAAGAAAACAAAAGAAAGAAAAAAGAGTAGAGTCTAGAATAGCCAGGTCATTGAGGAGTGTTTGGATATTTAGAAAAAAATCATTACAGCTCAAAAATGTGATTGAATATACTTCAAAAAAAATTCTGTACATTTTCCATTACTAGTAAGGCACTTTGTATATTCTTAAACAACTATGTGACTCTAACTTTTTTTTAATTAATGATTTTGAGTTCTTAAAGGTTGTGCTCCACTTTCCAATCAAATATACTGTGTATTTAAGAAAACAAAATATGATGCATGAGAGTTATTTAATTTAAAAGAACACATTGGGGCTGGCCCAGTGGTGTAGTGGTTAAGTTTGCATGCTCCACTTTGGTGGCCTGGGGTTCACAGTTTTGGATCCTGGGCACAGACCTACACACCGTTCCTGAGACTGTGCTGTGGTTGTGTCCCACATACAAAATGGAGGAGGACTGGTACAGATGTTAGCTCAGGGCCAATCTTCCTCAAGCAAAAAGAGCAAGATTGGCAACAAATGTTAGGTCAGGGATAGTCTTCCTCACCAAAAAAAAAAAAAAAGAAGAACATATTATTCTTTACTGGCATTATACTTCATGTTAAAACCTTCGCTGTAAGTGATCTGAATTTTTAAATGTTAGCTTTATCTCATCACTATAAAATCATAATCTTTTAAAGGCAATTGAGAGAACAATTAACCTTAAGAAAAGGATGTCATCATTTTCTGATTGATTATCTCAGCTTTCAAGAACAAATCATCCAGAACCAGTGTTTCTAATAAAATAAATTTTTCAGAAATCAGATCTGATCTATATTTTCTTGGCTCTCTGAATACAAAACAGACTTTGTGGGATGCATGCCTAATGAGTCATCCTTGTTTTTCATGAAAAACATGATTTTCCAGTACTGTAGCATTTTGCTCTTTACTGATTTATTTGCATAAAATGAATATATTTACAACTTGGATGTTGTGATTTAGTTAATTATGACAGTCACAATGATGCCTTGGTGATTTTATGAATCTGGAATGAAGCTGAGTTTTTTAGGGGTCTTACCTCTGATATAAGAAAAAAAACCCTTGTAGAGTGAAAATTTCTTAATTGTATTTGATTATGTTAATATTTTCTGAGCCTTGGAATGGACAAGTGTTTACCAGGAATAAGAAAAACAAAAAAAGTACAAAGTCTCACTTTAGCAGCAAAGCTGCCATAGAAAAATATGGAGCAGCACACAAAGGAATGATATGAACTAATTAAATGTACTGTTGTGCTACTCTTCACATTGACCGAGGTTTAATACTTATTCACTGATTTTCATTTAAGCAAGCTTTAAATTAGTAGTCACCAATTACAATTTCAGTGTCTTATACCTACATAGGCACTTCCAGAATAAGTCCAGACTCTGACCCAGTTATTACTATCATTGATATGCTCAGAACATCTTCACAAGACCCCACATTCAGTTAACATTTCTTGAGTACCTAGTATATTCTAGGCACTTTCCTAGGGATTGTGGATATAACAAAGTGTCTGCTCTTATGCCTCTTTAGTGGGGCAGACAGAAAAAGAATTCAATAAGTTCACTAACTAATATCTACTTCTATAAATTCTGTGAAGGAAATAACTGGATTGCTGTGACAGAGCATAATAGTGACCAACATTACCTTAACATTCCCCTCAGCTTAACCAAACTTTAGACAGGTTTCTTCCTGAATATAGGCCCCAAAATGGCCTTTTCTTAGAGAATTTACTTTAGAAAACTTGCAATTGCAAACACTTTCTCTGCCCAATTAGATGTCAATCTTCTTCCTGCCTCTTGCCAATTTTACAACCCAGGAAAGTCTTTACCAAGCACCTGGACCATCCCTTTGAAATGTATTCAACAAGAAAGAAAGATAGGGGCCCTATTTCCTTCTAATCTCTGTGGGAGGGTAGAAGCCTAACTTTACCAACAAGCCAACACAGCTGGCCTAATTGACAACCTCCCCCTTAATATCCTCCAGGATTTTTCCACTAGCACTTAAACATTTCTCTTGCTTTTTGTTTCAGAGGAGTTGAGTTCCATCTTTCTCCTCTATTCAATAGTCTTCAATAAGTCTTCCTTGCCTGTTTAACTTGTCTGGTGCAATTTTCCTTTGACAATAGGGAGAGGGAAACTCTGCCCTACTTTAGGTAAAATGAAGGAAAAGCATCCATGAAGAGATGGCATTTAAGCTTTGACCTAAATAATGAAAGCAGCAGCAATGTGTAGGATCAGGGAAGAGCACTTCAGGCAGATGGAGCAGGGAGCATCAAAGCCCTGAGGCTGGAAAGTTTGTCCTGTTCACAGAAGACCAGGGTGACAATGACAGGGGAGTAGGGAGAGAGTGGTGTGAGACTGATGGGCAGGCAGGGACCAGGTCATGCTGTACCTTGTTGGCCAAGGTTGAGAGTTGAAGATTTTATTGCAAGAGCATTGAAAAAGCATTGACAAGTTTTAACCAAAGGAAAAACCTGGTTTCAGTCAAAAAATTTTTTAAAAGTCCGGTAGCTCTAAGGAAGATAAATTGGATGGGGTTAAGAGTGGTCCACAGTCACGGAGCCAACCTTTCAATCTTCACTTTGGAAAACATAAGCGGTTTCGAAGAGTCTAGATCTAAGAGGTATAGATTAGGCAAGGGGGAGTTTAGAGAATTGAGAATAAATGAGAGATTGGAATTTTTCCCTAAAGAAAATTTACTTTGCATTTGATCTTCTAAGATAAAAGTATAGAGAATTTAATTAAAATCAAAAGTTTATTTGACTATATTAAACCAAATGCAATGATAAACTATTCCAGTTACAT